TCTCTCATGTCCATGCCAACCACTATTCTCACACACCAATTGGATTTATCCTCTTTAGACATTTTAAATCTCTTTAATGTCTATTTGGCCCCTTTGTCGCCATACCTCTGCCAAGTCCATTTGTTTTAAAAGCCATTGTCATATTAAAATTGAGATCATATGTGGATAATTATATAGACTATTGCCTTTCTGCAGATAGATTCATAGAATATGCTTTGTTCACCGTTGAAAGAGAATCCATCAGCAACATTTGATTTTTGACATGATCAAAGTTATCATTTAGTCCGATTAGATTGTTTGCACAAGTTCTTACCAGATTTACATTTTCAAACCTGCAGTCCGAATCGTGTTCATGTTAAAAAAAAATACCCATCCCACATCCACTTTTATTTGTCGAAATACATCATCACTGAATCATTTTCTTGCCTTAAAATTGAAATTTCTCTTTACAATTGATAGATCAACGGACCACTGCTCTCACCAAATCTCTGACAAATTTCTTCCATAGTTATTTAGCAGATTCAACACAAATAAATGCATCAACAATCTCTTTAGATAATGAATTTAAAATAAAAAATATTACCATTCAATCTATCTTTTTCCAATTCTCATATAATGGATCTCCAATGTTCTGTAGCTCAACTTATCCATCTATAAAGACTAATTTTGTCTTTTCTCCTAAATCTATCATCATCGAAACCTTCCAAGAAAAAAAATTAAATCATTTAGAAGATGCGAAACGAGTTGCATATCAGGGTAATCGGATCCGTAAAAAAACAACGGATTGTGCTCTCGGTTACCCACTCCTTAATTTCCCCGTGTGTGGCATTAGCCAAGCTTCATTGTACTGTCTGTGCATCGCCATTGAAGGTTTGAAATCAAGTACTCTTACTGGCTTAGATACCACGAAGAAAGCTAGATCGAAAATATCTGAATCAAATTTCATTCATCATTCTGCAAAATCACGTACATTGTGCATGCTCGCCCTAAATTTATATGGCCCGCGTAATTGAAATTTAAAAGGTACAAAACGACATTGTTTTCATGATTAAAACAAACGCATGACTAATAACATAAAGATAATAAAGCGTAAATGCGCCTTCGTGTTTTTTAGCATCTTTGAGTCTGTTGGGTCGTGAACTTGCATATGCCTATGAGTTGGGTGTGTGACGTGGACTGACATGCACACATGTCAACAAAAAGAAAAAAAAAATCCCTCGTGATTCAATAATCCTGTCGTATCAATTTTTTATCTGGTTCCCATGACTAATGGTCATTTTTTTATAATTATGACAGGTTATTAAATTACCATATTTTTTTCACAAATATCCAAACTTTCATATTGAAATGTCACTCTAAAAAACAACATAAAAAAAATGTATGATATTTCTTAGCATAAATATGTATTTTTTGTTAGAAATGTATGATTGGTTGACTTGCCTGACAGTCAGATCGCCTCATAGAAGAGTTTGCAATTAAAATTAGAAACAATTAAAAAATGTAAAGTTTGTTGCTATGATAGTTTATTATAATTATATATACATATCATTTCAAACTGAAATGACATGCTTTAAAAAGTATTATATTTCATTATATTTCAAACTGAAATGACTCGCCTAACAGTTAGCTAGGCAGACTCATACAAGAATTTGTGATTAGAAACATCAACGACCATAGTTCCACATGAACAGATCCTTGGATTTCATTATTATTATTATTATTATTATTATTATTATTATTATTATTATTATTATTATTATTATTATTATTATTATTATTCTAATTTCTCTTTCTA